GCAAGATGGTGAAGGAGAATGAGTTCACATGGAGGGAGGGGCCCCAAGTGAGTGAGATGGGAACTGGGAAGAGGGGCTGGAGGACATAGTGTGGGGGGGGGGGTGGAGTGGGAGGGGAGTTCTGGAATTGCTGGGTATCTGGGGTCAGGGCATAGTCCCCAGGTTCCTCCTGACCTGGGCCCCCAGGGAGATGACCAAGGCCAGGAGAACCAGGTCAGGTTTGAGCTCTTCTCCAGGCTGGCATCAGTAGCCCCAGACTCTGCTGGGGAAACCGCTGGATTCTGAAGTCAGCCTTTAGGACTGATTTTGGGCCCAGCTTGTGGGCGAGCTGTAATTATGTCCATTATACCTGTCTTGAATGATTCACAGATGACAGGGGCTTACGTAGGAGCAATGTTCCTCTTAATTTTTTTTTAATTTACATTTTCCGGTGAGTCACTGGAGTAAAGAGTACAGTTCTCATTGACGAGAGAAGAAAAAGTGGGGAGAGGGAAAAAAAGAAAATGTCATCAGGTTCATTGGAGACAAAATTGTCTAAACCATGTCCATGTGATTCTGACTCTGGGTTCATGTCTTCTGGGTTCAAACCTACTGCCTACTCTCTGAGCTTCTTGACTCTCCCACCTCCTGGAAGTGGGGGCCTTCCCTGTAGCCCCAGGAAGGTTAATGGACATACAACCTGATGTTGGAAAGTTTGTGCTTAGGGCCAGAAGGTTCTGGGTTCAAATCTCTGCTCTGACCCCAATGCTTGCTGTGTGACCCTGAGCCATTTCTTTAACCTCTCTGAGCCTCCATTTTTCTCATCTGCAAATTGGGGCCAAAAAAAAAAAAACAGTGCCAGCTTTGCAGATTGCTGGGAGGATGACATGAAATTATATACATAAAGCCCTTGACATATAATAATGAGAATAACAGCAAATATTTATCATTGCTTATAATGCAACAAACACTTTACATGTGTTGTCTCCATCCTTACAATGATCCTCTGGGTGAGCTCTCTTGCCTTCAGTTTACAGGGGAGAAAGTTGAGCTCAGAGAGGTTTAATGATTTGACCAAGGTCACACAGCTAGTGAAGGGCAGAGCTTGGGAGACTAGAGCTCAGGTCTAGTTGACTGTTTGTTTAAATGGGGATCTTGGGGATTAAACCCAGGACCTTGTGCATGCTAAGCCTGCGCTCTACCACTGAGCTGTACCCCCTGCACCCCTCCAGGTCTAGCTGACTTTAAAGCCTACTGTAGAAAAGTAGCCTTAACCCCTCAACCCAAACTCTACTTACTCCCGGAGGAAATAGCCTCGTCCTTCTGGTTGCTCAAAGCAAACCTGGAATTCGAGCCCCCCCACTTCTCTCTTCCCAGTAGTAGCCCCACCAGCCTCTCAGATAACCCTATCAGAAACTTGGGGTCATCTTTGGCCCTTCTGCTCTCTTGACTGCCATGTCAGACTTGGTGGCACCATCCAAGCCCCAGCCACATCTCTTCAACATAGATCTGTTCCTGCCGCATCTTCCTCCTGCCCTCCTGCTGAGTTCTTGCCACATCTCCACCCCCGCAGTGTAGCCAGTTTCAGCTGCCCCCTAGTTGGTCTCTTCCTGGCTCCCCCTGTTTGCCAGGCTTAGCCCGGCACTGACTCCTCATGTCACGCTGGACAGTGCTCCCTTCCCTCTGGTCCGCTTTCCCCAGCTGTAGAATGAGCCCTGCCAGGGTGACCTCCCTTTCATGCCCATAATGAAGACAGATCAAAGCTAAGCTCCCACAGGGGAGCAGGGGCCTAGGGCTTGGGTGTGCTCCCTCCTCTGCTGTGTCCTGGGGCTCCCTGGGGCATGGTGAGCACCACTGGGCTGGACGACCTTCAAGGGTCTCTCTCTGGGGCCAGATGCTTGTATCCTGAGGCCTCCCCTCTGGGTTCTAAGACAGGGGTGGGTGCTGGGTCTCTGGCCCCTGCCGGCTGGGTGTCTGCGGGGCTGGCGGTTCAGGATCTCCCCCCAACACCCCCTTTGGGGCAGAGAGGAAGTCCTGGGGGAGGGCTGCGTGTCAGTGGGTCAGCCGGCAGCCCATGTGAGCCCCAGCCTGTTAGTCATCCTGCTGAGGCCAGGGCTGTCCGCTCAGCTCACAGGGACAGCCACCCTTCCTCCCGCCAAAGCCCACGCCGGGGCCTGTCTGCCCTGTTGGAGGGAGGTGTTTCCCCACTGGCTCACCCAGAGCCTCCTGGCCACTTCCTGTTGACCTCCGGCTGTTGGGCTGTAAGGGGGGTTCCCTCCCTCCGCTTTCCCAGAGGAAATCTGGCATGTCCGCTCCACAAAACGCGCCAGGCTCTGCAGGCCCGGAACCTCACACCAGAAGAGGAGAGGAGGGCGAGCCCGAGGGGAGGCCAGAAGTTCCAGGACAGGCTGCCCAGTCTTCCAAAAAGCAAGCTTTGCTCTGAAGCCCACGGCAGGGTCCCTAGGGCCCTAGGGAGGACACATGAGATGTGACTGCTTCTGGTTCAGAGGAGGTGGCACATCTGATGGGAAATGCAGTGTGACTGAGAACAGAGGCGCCTGGGCATTCAGTTCCTCCAGCGAGAGTCACGCTGCCCGAGACCCCCGCAGGTGCGAGGGGCAGAGCGGGGAACACGTCTTCCTCTGTCTAGGAGTTTACAGTCCTCTTGAGGAAACAAAAACCATCATCCCGTGATGCATGCTTTATTGGGGATGTCAATTCACGGGAGTCTAAACAGGAACCGTTTTTATTTCTCCACGTTGTTTTCCATTATGCTAGGTTGAAGCCCCCTTTCCTGTCCCTTGAAATATTTGGGGTAGATTCCGTAGCTTCCTGGTCCCCCTTGGGGAGTGGTAGTGTTCAGCAGCTGGACAGGCCTGGCCTCCCCTTCCGGGCGTGAAGGTACCAGGTTCTTGGCTCCTTTTGTTCTTTGCTTTGGGCCTTGGCCCAGTTCTGGGACAATTAAATCCTTTATGTGACCCAGGATAAGATGAAGTTCAGGGACCTGTATGAGGGATCAGGAAAGGCTTCTGGGCAACCTCTCCCACCCCAGGCTGGACTCGGATGCCCTCAGGGGACAGTGCTTGGCTTCCCTGATAATGTTCTCCCCTTGGACAAGTTTCCTAAGAGCTCTGAGTCATTACGAACTTGAGGCCGGAGGCCCTCCGAGTCCCCGGTGCCCATCAGGCATGTCGAATGAAGGATCCTAGTTGAAGAATTTTGTTCTCCTGGGCCTTGGTGGATGGGGACCCTTGGGATCCTAGAAGACTTTCAATTTGGAAGAATTTCTCGAAGATGTGATGGCTCACTCTGAGGCAGGGACTGGCGGGCTGCGAGCTGGGCTCTGCTCAGCCATGTCCCTGGCCGGTCCCCAGCATCGTCTTCCTCCTGCTTGGCTGGAACCCCCTTCCTAAATATCTACTTCCTCTTCCACGAAAGCCCATCAGAGTGCTTCCCCTTAGACCCCAGCTCTCAATTCATGCAGCGCCTTCCACTCCCTCCAAGGTTATGCCTGTGGGACTCTGTCCTTCCCGATGACATTCTGATCACTGGTCTATTTATAACAATGACTCACCCTCCACCTAAACTTCTGCAGGAAGTGTTTGGCTTCGGAGTCGACTCCCCTGGAATGTAAAACAATTCATGCTTATAAATGATCACCCTTTCGTTTCCCTGAGATTGTGCACCCTTGGCCTCCTCTTGAGCTGTGGCCAGATCTCTTGGTGATCTCCCCACCCCCGCCCTGCCCCGGTGCCACCATCCTTTCTTGTTTATCAGAATTCCTGCCGATCCCACGACCTGCACAGCCAGGCAAGTTCCTCTTCACCATTAACCTTGAGACTGAGACTTCCTTGCTGTGCAGATGGGGAGGCCTCGGCTGGGTGATTTCCCTTTGTTTTCATAGTGTTGGCTTGTGAATGAGCCCCAGTTGGGGTAGCGGGAGGGAGTGGAGGAATCTGGGAGAGAGCCCGGAGCCACCACCCTTGACCTGAGACCGCCTTTTCTCTTGGGACCCCAGCCTTCAGTGGTGCGGTACCCACAGAGGCACCTAGTGCCCTGCTGCTCATGGCTGTGCTGACTTGCAAGTGACTCCTGGCAGGAGGGACAGTCATCAGTCAAGAAAGCATCTACCTCTTCTCCAGTGCCGGTCCAGGGCATCTCTACCTCTTCTCTGCCCCGGTCCTCTCACCATCACCTCTAGCAGGTGTCTGCTGACTCCTGTGGTGGTTCCACTTGCAGGGAGGCTAGCGGGGACAGTAGCAGGGGCAGGCGTTTGCAGTCAGGCTGGGGAGATGAGGTGGCCCCCCTCCCTCCAGTTTGTGGGGAGACACCCTTGTTGCTTCCATTGTAAAGAAAATATGGTGGGGGCCCTCCATGGGGTCCCTTGGTTTCCTGTCCATGTCCCCACCCATAAGCTTTCCACATCGTCGGCCCTTCCAGCCTCCAACCATTTCTTCTTGGGAGTAGAGGGGTCACCCTATCCCATGGCCCCTGCTCTGGAATCCTCCCCTCACCCCATCATGGTTCGTTGGTGACTGTCACTCAGTCCAGGGTTCACCTTTATCGAACAGTGAGCACCTGTGATCTCACCACCCAATTTAGGAAAAAGAATATAACTGTCACTTTAAAGTCCCTCTGATGCCCTCCTCTTCCCGTCCGCTCTGCTCCCTTCTCAGACATAACCATTATCCTGAATTGCGTGTATGATTTTCTGCCTTCTCTTTGTACTTACACCAAATATATTTGCATCCCTAAATAATAGGTGATTTCGTTTTGCTGTTTCTTTAAACTTCGTATAAATGGAAACATACAGTTCCTATTCTTTGGTGACCTGCTTTTTCTGTTGTTTAACGTTTCGTTCTGACATTATATGTATTCTAGAATTCATTTCTTTTTACTGATGGTTTTTATTTCACTATGTGGAGTCACCATACTTTATCCATCCTTTTGCTGGTAGATCACTTAGCCTTTCCCCTTCCTCACCCGCCTGACTTTGATTTCTCTTTTTCTTTTTCCCCCAGTTACAAATGGTGCTGCAGTGATCCACCCCCATCCACACGTGAGAGATGCAGATGTCCTCCAGCTGAAGACCACCGGGGCCACACTTGGCATGGGATTGCCGAGCTGTACGGTAAGAGCATCCTCGTTCTTTCTAGATGGTGCCAGTCTGCATTCCCATGCGCCGGGTATCCAAACTCCAGTTGTTCCTCCGTCTCAGCGGTGCTCGGTACGCCCAGACTTCAAAATATTTGTGCATTCAAAGGGTACGCAGTGCTGTCTTGTTATTTTCCTGGCTGCTGGTGCAGTTGAGCATGTTTTCAAATGTTTTCTGTGAATTGCTTGTTCCTATCTTTCGCTTATTCCATTTGTTGATTTTTCTCCAGAGCTGATCTGTGGCGTTCTTTATAGATTTTGAATATGAATCTCTTGGTAGGCAAAGATCTTCTCCCAGGTTGTAGTCTACCTCTGTTCTGGGAGTCGTGGGGGTAGGGGAGGCTTGGTAGTTTTTAAAAAATACAGTGAAGTATACACATCTTAATTGCTACAGTTTGCTGGATTTTGACAAATGTCTGAAGCATGTAACCCACTCCTCTACCAGGTCGTAGAATATTTCCGTCACCCCAGGAAGGTCTTTTGTGCTCCTTCCCAGGCAACCACTGTTTTGACTTCTTTTACCATATTGTATTAATTTTGCCTGATTCAGAACTTCATGTAAATGAAATCATACAGTAAGTGTGTCTGGCTTCTTGCTCTGTATAATGTTTTTGAGATTCGTCCATGTTGTTGCATAGATTTCTTTTTTATTGCTGAGATTTCTACTGTACAAATATACTATAGCATGTGTATCCTTTCTCCCATTGATGGACAGTGTGGGTGTTTCCATTTTTGGCTGCTATGAATAAAATGGCTATAAACATTTTTGCACTTATCTTATCTTTTGGTGGACGTATGTTTTCATCTCTCTGGGGCAAATACTTCAGAGTGGAATTGCTGGAACATAGGAAGGTGTATGTTTGACTTTATGAGAAAAGTTGTGTTTCACCTTTTAACTCTGTTAAGGGCATTGTCTGTCATCAGATTTAACAATCTTTTCCTTTGTGGTTTATGCTTGCTTTAAGAAATCTTTTTCTGAGATCATAAAGATTTTCCACTGTATTTCCTTTGGAAGGTTTTAAACTTTGTATTTCACATTTGGGTCTTTAATTTGCCTGAAATTGATTTTTGTCTACCGTGTGAGATAAGACTCTATTTTTCTCCCCATCCCCCATTTGGGTAACCAATATTCCTAGTGCTAGTATTGGCTAGGGCATCACCCCCACCCCCAATTGTAGTGCTCTGTCATATATGAGATTTCCACATGAATTAAAAAAATTTTTTTTACTCTATTACATTTTTTGGTTTGTTTTTGTTTTTGTTTTGGAGGGGCAGGTAATTAGGTATGTATGTATTTATGTTAATGGTGGTGCTGAACCCAGCACCTTGTGCATGCTAAGCATGCTCTCTGCCAGTGAGTTATCCCCATCCCCTACCTCCACATAGATTTAGACTTGTATCTGGGCTCTGTTCTGTGCCATTGGTTTATTTTACTATCTCTATGCCAAGACCACACTGTGCTAATTACTCTAATTCAAAGAATGTCTGGCTATCTGGGAGGATACGTCATCTACTTTGTTCTCCCAGATCAGCTTGTCTACACAGGGTCTTTGCTCTTTCCTAGAAACCTCAGGGTCAGTTTGTCAGATTACACGCATGTGTGCACATGTGCACATACACGCCCATGCTCACACACGCACAGAAATTTTGTTCGCATTTGCGTCATATTTATCGATTATTCTGCGGGGGGACTGCAGTCTTTACGACCTGAAGTCTTCCCATTCAAGAACATAGTTTATTTCTCTATTTTTTTGTTTCCTTAAGCTC